TAAAATCTTTACATTAGTTGTCAATTTAAATTACTCATTAGACCATAGGTGCATTGGATGACATTGATTTGTGTGACCAGCTTTGATTTATGCACTCGCAGTTTATTAATTTCATCAAAGCATAGTGGCTCGTTTTTACAGGGTCTAAAATTAGAAGCGCTTAAATATTGGCTGCATATTAGAAGAATTGTAAGATTACCATTTGAGTTGTAGGTTGTGAAAAATTTGAATAGAGTCAATTGATCCGTAAAATATAATAACTATTTTATTCTTAAATTTTCGTATAATCATGAAGAGCGTTGAGGAAAAAAACAGCTACATACATATGAGGACATAAGCGCCTATCGGTCACCTGTCAAATCATAAGACAACTAAGCAGGGACTAAATCTCAGTTAGGGTACCCTGGCTCCCATGGCTCCCATGGCTCTCATATTTAAGTTACAATATCGTGCTTTAAAAATGTATTATACGTAGAGAAAAAATTTGTTATTTTCTAGCTTTTTCAGGAGGAATTTAAAGTTTCTGTACTGTACACTCAGACTGTACATCGGCGATCCAGAAGGCCAACTACACAGCATCTTTGGAAAAAATCGACAAAGGGTTGAAGCCATTTTGGTTCAATTATAACCTCTCTGATTATGAATCAGCTATCAAAATCCAAAAAGCCATTCAAATTAAAAAAAAAAAAAAATTGAACTTATATAGAAATTGGTATCTAGGGGTTCTTGAGATCGCTGATTACGAATATGAATTCAGATTTTTGAATTCAAAATGGCTGTTACAAAATTTGTTAAATTTTTATGAAATTTTTCACCTGTATTGGTTTTTGAATCTACAGCTAAGTGTCTTACATCGAAACCTAACAAAGATTTGAAAAAATGTCCACTGACTTTCAATTTGTAAATAAATCGATGATTTTTGGTTAATTTGAAATTAAATAATTTCGTAAAAGTTCGGCCGCCATATCAAATCTGCTATTTTGGATTTTTCAAATTTCACTTCATATTCATAACAACGCACATCAGCCTTTCTGCTGATTAAGTTATGTCACATGATACTAGCCTAATTTTTAGTTATGATTTCAAATCTGTGATTGAAATTTTTGTATCAGCTCTAATTTAGAAAATATGACACATTCAAAGTATTTTCGAGCATTTTTTTTGATGGAAGAAACTGCCTGAAAAAATTGCCAAAAATCAACGGTAAGTCTTAGATACTTCAAATTTGCACTTTGTTGTTATAAAATTAATGGGGCTACATAACTGCATACTCAAAAAAATTCTAAAAAATCTGATCAAAAAGTCGAAAATTGCATACGAATTTATTGAATTTTTCTCAGTTTTACACAAAGTTTAGAAAATATATTTTTTGTTGTAATATGAATCATAATTTTGTAAAAAATAAGCGAAAAAAATCAAAATAAAAATTGTTGCGTATATTGAAAATTCCCTGTGCCAATACTTTTTTCCGGCAATGTAGTTAATATAATTTTATTAAGATTTTAAGTTGAAAAAAAAAACTTTCTTTCATAAGACTTCTTTGCAGAAGTTGCAGCCAGAGCGCTGTTCTGAATGCTCCAACAATAGTCAGCCAACGTACGAAGGTGAAAGCTAGAGTAAACAAGAGCTGTGAGAAAACAAATGAGGGTATATTTAGAATAAGCGACGTCGAATTGGTAAACATCATCTGTCATAAGTCAGTCATCAGGACAAAAGTGCAATCTTGTTGGCCAGTGTAATCAGTGACCCAAACTACCGTTCGCTATCAAGAATTGGGTAAAACCGTCAACGTTTGTAAAATTTTGTCTGTCACATAAAGTCCGCCAGTTTTTTAAGGGAGGAAAAAATCCTGACGTGATGCAGAAAAACGGTGTTCAGCGACCTCAAAAAATATATGAAACACCTGTTTCGTCAAAAGAGCCATTCATTGTTTTTTTTTTTTAATTTGTGGTCCTGTTTTTGTATTAACTTCCTAATGGAGAACCCGCTGTACAAAAATCGATTATGCATATACATATATGTATGTATGTATTTATAAACACAAATGTACATGTACATACATATGCAAGTAAAGGTATTTGTGTACGAAATTGAATAAGTGAATTTGCAAAATTTCATTATAGCCAATGTTTCGATACCTAGTTGATTTATTTTTAATTATTTAAATTCCTGGCAAGTAATATTATTTGGCATTCAGAGACTTTCAATTCTATCAGTTATATATAGTATGTTCCACTAATGAAATAAAATGATGCAATGATGTATTTATAATGCATTTGAAATTATTATTAAAATATATACATACATACACATATTTATGTAGCTATATATATATGTATGTATTCACTAATACACATACATAACTGCCGTTTGCCTGCATAAATGTGAACACGCAATTATTAATTTTTATTTTTAATCAAATTCAAAAATCCTAAATGCCTGTAATGAATAGTCCAGAGAAGTTCAACCCTGTTGCTGTTCTTTGAAATTAACACTTAGAATTATATGCAATTTATCAAGCAAATTATTTTACGTAACTATGTTGAAAATGTAAGTAAGTAGTAAGTCATCAAAACACCCGTGTAAGAGTACAATTGCAGATATGAAGTAGATTTGGTAAACACAGCTGTAGTTAGATATACTTATTATATCTGGCCTTATACAGGGTAGACCATTTTTTAATATTGGTGTTATTTTCTTTCTCTTGGCAAGACAGCAAGACCACCCACAGCGACTACAACACGCTATTCGTTTTACACAATTAACCACGCAAATTGATTTTCTAGGTAATGTTTTGATGTCGGAGGAAGCGCATTTCCAAGCAAAACTGTAGATTGTGGGGCTCTAAGAATCCAAGGGCAACACACCAGCACCAGTTACACCCGTCCAGATGCACTGTTTGATGTTTGGTTATCGGCCTACATTTTTTCGGGAATGAGGATGAAGCGCCAGAAAACATTTCTGTGGAACAACGATGGACAACTTTTTGCGGCCAACGGCAGAGCAGTTTCCTAATTTGTGGTTCCAACAAGATGGAGCGACTGCGCACACTGCTAGACAAACTATGGACCTATGAACTATGGATGGTAGATCTTATTGGCACTCTCTCTATGTGTTGGCATGGTGATGTTCTAAATCTATCCAATCACGTCTATATACACTTCTGGATATTGCACCTATATACATACATATGTATGAGGGAAAAATGCCGCAGCTTAGACACCCAGAGGCTGGTAACCAACAAGTTGCAGCGTCATCTGGTGGAGTACATAAGTAAGTTGCGATTATCGGATCAAGAAAGTTGACATTGATAGTGTAGTCCCATCTAGTGCTTAACTATGACTGCATAGAGTCCGCTAACGCTTAAGTCATGAAATGTTCCTCTCACTAAAAGTCTAAAGTCATTCGCATGGGAAATAATCAGGCAGCATCTAATCACCAGCTCTTCTAGCAGCAGGCTATTTTCGACCCAAATCCAAAGTAAGGCTGAGAGAATACCAACCTGCGGCATGCCCATGTTTACCTTACCCTGGAATTTTGGCACTGCCCCAGTCTGCTGCAGCAGTTCCGCCTCAGATTGCGTGGTACAAAACCGTAAGTAATGCGGTATAGACCACTAGCTTACCAAGGGATTCGCCAATATCCCCTCAAGGGGAATGCTATAAGCCACTCGATCTCGTGAAGCAGTGAAGTTGAAATGAAAGAAATCTTCCTTTATCGACTTTATGATCGTGTGCAGGGCGATCTCGACCGACCAACAATTGTTGTATGCATTATGAGCTAATGACAGGCGTAGAAAAAAAAGTTATTTCCTCATAATCGTCTTTGCAAAAAACAGTAAGAAGAGAAGGAGATTTTACTTAAAAAATATGTATATGTTTGTACGTATGACAGTAAGGAATAACACCCGAAGTCCGAGCTTGCTTGACTACAATGTACCATTCGATGTGTATGCTTGGGAATGCTGCACAACAAAGATAATACCTATTGATGCCAGAATGTTTTCCTAATACTACCATCAAGTCTTATCAAAAAAATTCCCTTTAGTTTGGGTAGTACTATTTGTATTTGTCGTCGACTTTTTATCCAACTTCGTATTCGTCTTTTTCTTCCACTCCGTATTCGACTTTGCATTCGTCTTCGTATTCAACTTCAATTCAACTCGGTATCTATTATGCGTATTCGTATTCAACTTCGACTTCATATTCGTCTGCGAATTTCACTTCGAATTCGCCTCCATATTTATTTTCATAGTTGCCTTTGTATTCATCTTCTTATGCGCCTTCGTATTATTCGTCGTATTCGACTTCAACTTTGTATTCGACCACGTGTTCGACTTCGACTTCGTATTCGACTTCGCTTCCGTATTTGTCTTCCTATTGCATTTTGAATATGACTTCGTATTCGCTTTCGACTTCGTATTCTAGTCCGTATTCGTATCCCCCTTCGTATTATATTTTGTATTTGCATTGGGCTTCGCGGTCGACTTCGTATACGTATTCGTCTTAGTCTTCATATACATACGTCCTCGAATTTGTCTCCGTATTGGACTTTGTATTCGACTTCGATTTCGGCTTCGCGCTCGTATTTGTACTTATATTCGAATTCGTATTACCCTTCGTATTCGTCTTCGTTTTTCTATCCGCCGTCATCTTTGTTTGTCTTCACATTTGTTTTTGTCTTCATTTGATTTTTCATAACTTTTGCCTTTGGCTTAACCTTAGGTTTAGTCTTAACTATCAACCCCTCATACAATTCTTTAGCAATTTTTTAATATGTACAATGATAATATTTTTATTCTTACCGCAGAAAAGAAACAATGCATCACTTTGATGAGTTAATATAAAAAACACGTGAAAGCAAATTAAAAAAAAAAATAATAATACAAAAAAACAAGGAAGAATAAATTTTCCTGCGCAACTCTTTTTTCATCTCCGATAGTACATATTTACAAATATTGACTTTATTTGCTACATTTAATTAATTTCGTTTCGACTCACCTGTGCATCGGTGAAAAGAAAGACCGTATGATTCAAATTGAAACTGGCTGTCATCAGTATCTTCTTCAGATCATCACGCCAATCGGTTTGCGAGTATGTCTTTGTCACCTGTACGGTCATCAGGCGACAATCAGCAATGCTGGCGGCCAGTCTGCATGAACTACGACGTCCCGAACCACCCATGCCGACCATAAGGATATTGCCGCGCGGCATTTGCAATACACGCGAGACCCTGCAGCACCAACGCAGGCGCATAACGGTAATGGCACAGTGGTACCAATTGTAATAGCGACGCCGCCATTGGGATAAACCAAAACAGCAGCAGCAGCAGCAGCGGATGAAATCAAATGAAATGCAATGAAATGAAAAAAAAAAGAAAAAACTAAAACAAATTCCAATGGATGAGTGAATGCAGCAGCAATGAGTGAATTGAGCGTACAATCGCGCGGCATACAGATGAACCGATAAGTGAATTTCGGTGTTGTGTCGGTTTGATGACCAGCGGTATAGCTGGTTACAGCACGGCCACTGGTTGCTTGCCGCGCGCGGCATGATGGTGGCAATGAAAACCGCATGAACGCAGGAGGCGAAACTACGAATACAAACGCCATTGGACGTGGTGGTGGTACGCCATATAGCGCGGCGGCGGTAACATCAGTGTGCTACCGCAAAAACATAAAATTAATAGAGTTGCCATATTGCGTTGACACGCACATGCACGCCGTTGCAGCATAGCCGATAATAATATCTACTGAATTTTGTACACGCAATCACACGCTTGGCTGTTTGGTCGGCGGTTGCCATTTGCGTGCTTGCATGACACAGGCGCGTCCGTCACGTATACGCCGCGGACACAACCGCGAGTCTGACGCTGGTGCAGTGCTGATTTGGAAAATGCATTTAAATACATACATACATTGTATTTGGCTATGTGTGTGTGTATGTTGGTGCATACATATTTGCATTTTAATTCGCACGCATGCACGCTTGATTGTGTAGTAGTAATTGTTCGTTTGCAGTCAGCTGCTACAGCCGCGCTTTACTCACCTCGATATATGTTCGATGGCGAAACGAAATAACACCAAGTCCATTGGTGTATTCGAGAATGCATTGTAATCGCGCAGATAGTAGTGCATCAGTTTTTCCAATTTATCATAACTTTCGACCTCATCGTAAATTTTCGGATCTGCATCTGGCTCCAAATAATTACCGTAAAATAAATTCCGCAAATCATCATCGGTCAGTTTGGCGCCCGGCTCGGATAAGCGGTCGGCGAAAGCTCGCTCCAATGGTAAGCGTATATTCGTTTTGCATGCATTATTCACCATGTCCAGCAGTGCATCACGATCCCGTTGCTCAATCAGACTGCAATAATAACAAACACAATAACAAAATATTACATGCAATGTGATACAATGATGATGGTTATCCAGCCCTGTGGCCGGCTTAGTAACTGCATGTACTCTATGTATGTATGTATGTATGTATGGTTGTGTGCAGTACTTAGTGCAAAGCGTGCTATAGAAATTTCAGTTGAAATGCTGAATGTCGAATGATTATGAATTATGATATCAATGCGAGTAAAATTAGCGTAATAAAGGCGCTTATTGCTGGCGGTAAATAGCCGCCGCATATGCAAACCGTGCAAAACCGTGAATGGACTGCAATTGCAAAGGTATCTATTACCTATCTCAGCATGCATGCATTCCAGCAAAATTAGCAAACATACGAAAAGTCAGCATTAAGTCTACATATCCATATTGTTTTTCTACTTAGTGCAAAATTAGCAGTGAAAATTCAGGTATTGGAATTCGTTGGACTTTTTTGTGTACAAAGCAGCTGGCATTAGAGATTAAAAGTCAGTGCTAAGCGATGCGTATGTATGTATGTATATGTGTATGCAAAGCTTAAAAATCAGTTTTACGAGTTGGAAATATTACTTAGCAAGTGCAATTAATGTTTTTCTCCCTTGCATTGACAAACCAGGCACTCACAGGCCTCAATGTATATCCGGTCAAAACGGATCTAGTGTTCTTCACCGGGAATTATATTGTACTGTTCTAGGGAGAACTAATGTGGTGGACAAAAATGAATACGAAAACATGTGAAAAACTTATCGATAGAATTCATGTGGTCTCAGATGCAACGATAGAAGGTGTAGGTGTACATATACATATTTCAATGAAATAGGAGAACAAGGCTCAAACTACCAAAATACTGCCGCATCTTCCAGACAGAAGTCACGGCAAAAAAAACGCGGTGGAGCTAGTTTATTTCTATATGGATAGCGAAGCAGCCATAAAATCCATAGTGTTAAATACGACGACCTCAAAGAATGCGCTAAAATAGAAAAATTAATTAACACTCCTAGCATAAACTAGAAAAATTCACTTCTACTGGGTACCTGGGTATAGGAGCATGCGGGAAACGAAAGCGAGGATGCTCTGGCAAAGCAAAGAGTGCTACTAAACATTGAAATATTATCTCCCTACTGGCTCATAAAAGGGAATGTGTCCCAAGACCCGGAAAAAAGCTAGCCCTACAACATGGGGGAAAAGCAAGTAAGTATAAGGGACATGCTTTGGTCACCTGATCTGAAATAACTAAAACTTATACTCTGCATATTCTGTTGGTTTTCATAACTGCTCACAATTTTTTATTCCATAAAACGGGTTTGGCAAGTAGCGATAGCTGTAGGAAGTTCAAAATGGAAAAAGAAACGGTAGAGCACATACTTTGGCGGCCTCAAATTGGTGTAGAAGTGAAGGACTCAGCCTAAAATTGTTTTCGTTTCGTTTACAATCTAAAAGCAAGTTTTTGAATCGGTCATACTTGGAGGGACAGTGCTCAAATACCCTGATGAGACAAAATATCTAGGAATTAAGTTAGTTAAAGGACTTAGTTGGAACTCCCATCTTCATAAAACTATTGCTGAAAGCAGACGCGGTTTTGGTATGTAGTCTTTACTCCAATTTGACAGAGTGATCTTACCGCATGGTCAGCCAGCTAACTGATTACGCCTTTTGCTTCCATAGCCATGATGAAAGTACTTCAACACTATCTGATGACAATATTTCTCCCTGGTTATAAAGAAGTGGTCTTTCTGACTCCATGACCAAATAGATTTATCTTAACAGAAAGTTTATAGTGAAAATCTCAGATCGTGAAACTGGACTAAAGAGCTCCCTGTTCTTGATTCCAGATATGTACAATGACACTATGGTGGTTCAAGGATGCATGAACATCCCTTTCGATTACTCATCATCACCTCGAGTAATGTAGGCAGGCGCTCGTAAAAAAAAAACTCGGAAAACTTAAAAAAAACTTATCTCGCGGGATATGTTTTGGTCATGATTGACTTAGCTACATTTAGGTAATGAGTGAGTCGATGGTAGCCCTTTGATTGAAAGTATTTGAAGCCAGCTCAATACTTATAATTGATTTGGTTTTCATTTAAGTGATCAGCGGACCCCAACGATACTTTGAGGATGTTTTCATGCTCACCTGTAGTACTACTCACTACTCCGCTCCGTGTCGTAACGAAGGTGATTCTTTAGTTACTTTTTTACTTTAAGCTTATTTGAGATACAGTAGCGGATCTTATTTTGAGGCGAAATAGGTTAGTATTCGGTTCGAGAACTAGGCCATTCTCCAGCAAAACGGAACCTTCGTTATCCAATGTATTTTTCTTTCGTTATGAATTCGAAATCCAGTCCATTATCGAATTGGAATTTTAATGAGAGAGAGAGTGATTTTCTTATATTTCCCTTCAAGAATGAGCTGAATTTCACTTTCTTTCATGTTACTATGGTTTCCATTTGTTTTTTCGAACCCATCTCGAGTGTATTTCCAATATACTATGAACGTTGGAAAACTAAGGTTGCTTATGAGTTGGTTCTCACTTCGATATTCGTATTGGATATCGAAGATCATTTTCGAACGTTCGCCAAAATGTTTATTGGGTTTTTACCAAGGGAAAAACGTTTATTTTTGTAAGTGTGCAAAATGATTTTTTGCCACAAAAAATGAGCAAATTATCTATAGTACTTTGTAAGAAAAAAACGGCGTCTAATAACACCCAGCGCCTAAAAGCATACTACAACCTCAATAGAAAGGGCAGCACATATACACAGCTGCATGTTCGCACATTTCATAAAGTGTCAAATAATGGGGCTTATTAAAGTAATATGTTGATTGTACTTCCAATCATGCTAAGCCTTGCATGCCGAATTCACCGAATAACTCGTCCGCAAATTATTTGCAGACTCTGCTTGACTTACAACTTTGCAGAGGTGGTAGCTAATGGTTATTTTTTGGAAACAGTGCCTACCCACCATTGAATAAATATTTTTTTAGATAAATACATTTACATGCTTACACCTTGGTCTCCCCTCTCACTGAGTTATTCAGTGATAGTTTATCAAAAACCCTAATAAAAACAAAAAAAAATTCGTCAACACTCGTTGAAAGCTTCTTTAAACTAAATTTGTGACCTCATTTAAATAATTTTTTTTTTCCTTCCTTATCAATGTACATATCTAACTTAAAAATCACTTCCGAGTGGAACAGCATAAATGTTCAGTACGCTACATATAATTAGCATAGGTATCCATTACGAACAGGGAAACGGCATAAAAACTTAAAAGCTACTTAAGCGCATGACATACTTAAATAGATGCCATGCAAAAAAAAATAAAACAAAACTGAAATTGTGAAAAAAAATGCCTAACACCGTTGTAACATAACTAAGCGTGCCTCGTTACATGCAAGCACCTTTTACATAAGCAACTATCTATGCAAACACGTATGCACATTTGTATGTACATTAGACTGCATCACAAAAACAAAAAAATCGGTTTTGCCGCCGGGATTGGAAAACCTATTATATTTAAAGACGTCCGCCAAAATATTTCGGAAAAATATCAAGATTTACGTGAGCTGGACCGATTTTAAAATATCTAAAAAAATGGAGTTTTTTATGAATAAAAATAGTTTATTATAAAACTTTTTGAAAAAAATCCCCTCAGATGACAAAACAGATTAAGTTTAAAAAATCTGCATTAAAATATTTAAAAATTTAAAATTTAAATAAATTTTTTTTTTTAATATTTCTATGAAAATTTTTTAAGCTTAAGCCGTTTTGTCATTTGAGGGGATTTTTTTTTTAAGTCTGTAAGAAACTATTTTTATTCATAAAAAACTCCATTTTTGGGGGTATTTTCAAATCGGTCCAGCTAACGTAAATCTTAATATTTTTCGGAAATATTTTGGTGGACGTCTAAAAATATAATAGATTTTTAGAATTCCAATGGAAACACAGTACCGATTTTTTTTTTTATATTGGGAGTGATTCAGTCTAATGTACCTATGTATCTACATTTATGCATAAACAGTTAAAAAGCGAGCATACAAACCGGTCGTAAAACACACGATACGTTTCATGAGCCCACAAACGGCCCAGCTTCTCAACTTCCTGTAGCCTTTTAGCCGGAACGAGGACAATGCCCTGAAAGACGCGAGTGATGTCACGTAGCGAGAATGTGTAATGAGATTTGGCGGGTGTTGGTAGGAAAATGCTGAGTGCTTGACGATAAACGTTGACCATTGCTTCGGCAAGACCCTAAAAAAGCAGTAAGAAAAAATATATATTATTTATATATTTATATTAGACACCAAACAAAAAGGTACTTAAGTGCAGTTTATTACTGAAATATTTTCAAATGGGGTTGTTAGCTTTTTAAAAAATGAGTAGTAGTAATAAAATATGTAAATCAGTTATACTATGTATTAGATACATTTTGAAAGTTGTTACATAGAGTGCGCAAGTAAAAAAAAAAACCAGTAAGGAAAAAGCTGTCTTTGGTTATGCGGAAGGCTCCGTATCTTTCATGAATAAAATAAAATTAAACTTTTTTTTTGCTTGTGATGCGGGAGCTGGAGATTATACTAAATTGATCTTGCGGGCGCAAATCCGCAAAGGAGAGAGGCAACTGGCGAAGTTTTTTGATCTCGGCCCAAACCGACAAATGGTTGAAGTGGCAAATGAGAAGAACAAGATCTTGCGGATATTCACAGTGAAATTTTTATTTATAATAAGCAAACAGGGTACAAATCATCAGGCCCTGTCCCACTTACATAAATGGAGGAATTATACACAAAAGCTCATATCTGAACAATCAGTGGTTTGAGAGATTTAATACATACCTCATAGATCACCGATCTTGATGTTTTTTTCAGTAGACTTTTTAGAATTGATTAGTAAATAGTTTACAAAATTTTAGGGGTTTAGCTATCTAAATTAAGGGCATTTGAAGTAAAAAGTCATATATTGCAATAAACCGATTTTGCCACTTCTGGCAAATGATTCATACATTATAATGAGGCATCCCTGTACCAAATTTTGATGAGATATCTCGATACAGTGAGATACAAGTGAGGGATTAGTTTGTGTTCAAACAAATGGAACGGGCAGACAGACATGGGAAAATCGATTCAGCTTGTCCTTCTGATAACTTCGATGTACTTTTTTATGGGTCTATCTCTTCCTCTTCTGGTACTTACAAACATCGGACCAAAATTATATTAAAATTTCAAGTCAGCCTTAAGACTCAGGGAGGTTTCTGGACCTACGTTACATCCGGACACTCGAAAATTTGAAGGAAGATGGCACTCATACCGATACTTGATAGTACTGCATACCATCAAACACTTTCGCCAACAAGTATAAAATTACCATAACACTTCGGCAAAACTGAAGCAACAAGCCTCACACACATGCGCAAAGCTATAAACTTCCAAACTCAACGGAAAGGTCGAAGAAGGAGTCTTTTACCCAGAGCAGGAACTAGAAATATCTTTTTCGGCTTCCTGAATACTGTGATTAGTGTAAACCATATGGAGGTGCTGGTTATGCAGGAGCCCACTCGGTACCTAGTGAGAAGACCTAAGGAGAAATTACAGGCTTTTATCTGCTCTGACAGTCATGCAGACTCTGGATTGATGCGAAGACAACTGAAAATGTCTCACTCAATGCCGCAGATCTCTAGAACAGATGACCCAACATTATAGAGTACAACTCATATGGGTGCCTGGACATCGAGATATTGAGGGTAAGTGCGAAGCTGAACGAAATGGTTTGATACCGCGTGAGCATCGCAAAATCGTAGAGGGAATGCAGATGGCAAATGGTATCATATTGCGACTGCCCTTCGCCTAAGTGTAAGGAGGAGAGTCACGCTCTGTGTGGCCATTCCAACTTAACCCCATCCCTGCACGAAATATGCCGCTTACCGGCAGCTTGTGCTCACATATCGGCTGTTGCGTGATGAATACGGCTAAGGTAGGTTAGTTTATATTTGAGTAGACAACAAAAGGCCTTCTTTTGCAATACCAATATGAATGCCAACTGCTAAGCTATTGCGAAATACGCTCTGCTCAGGACGAGATCTCGCAGGCTGCTGATGTCTGTCTTGTATAGCTTCTCAGAGACCTGCTAGAAAAGTGAGACCAAATAGTATACATCAAGACTAGACTTTTGATTGCCAGAAAGCCCTATATCCCTTCTGTCTGGAGAAATTACTTCGAAGGTGTAATTAGTAGTTGTGTAGTGCCCAGGCAATCAGGTACATATATCAGCTAGATATGGAAGTATTCAGAGACGCTTGAGAGTCAGTTTGGACAGCCTTTAAACAATTTTAATAGCATCGTAAGTTAGCTTAAAGCCCAGCTACGCTCTCAGTAGAGGCAGTCTTTTGGATAGCGGCTTGAGACTGCCACAGATGTCGCTAGCCACCGCAGCTTGGTCGGCTACTTGTATTGAAAAAATAAATAACGGGAACTAGTCATATTTCTGTAATGGTTCGGCAATTTCCTACGAGGTTTCGTGTTTATACATATACTCATATGTTTTTTACTACAATACGTTTGTTTCAAACTAACGGTACATGTACTTACCCGCGATAGCAGCGCCACCTTTTCAGGATAATCCTTGGCGAAATGCCAATCGCCAATTGCTGTGAATATTTTAATGATGGTCGAATCCTCAAACGAGTCCACAGCGACGAGAAATGTGTGCCGATAGAAGCGTGGAAAGATAAAGTTGCTGCCACCCGGCACGCCCATAGCGCCGAGAAAACTCTGCATAAACAAACGGTGGGAGGAGAGCAGAGAACACTAAAAACAATGAAGTTACAACAATAGCAACATATGTATGTATTAACAAACAGCAGAAAAAACAAAAACAAAAACAAAAAAAAATGTAAACCAACGTCCAAACAAACAACACATGAACAAGTCACATTTGTTTTATTGTTGTTTGCGCTTTTACAGCTTTTTTTGCGATTGTAAAAAAATGTTAAAAATTTATTTCACATAAAAACAATAAATAAAATGTAAAAGCGAAAACTCCGACTGCAACAAAAAAAAGTTTAAAAGTTAAATAACAAACAAAAAAAAAAACATTGTAAAAATTTTCGAAAAGCAAAAAAAAAACTTTGGAATGAAAACTTTTGCAATATGTACGGCAATTTGGTGGTTTGGTTGGCAGTGTGGGCGGCTAACCGCGTTGCCAAAGAGCCAAAATATGCGGAAGTATCCACCGATATGCAAACACATACATACACGCACACACTCACACACAGCCACAGACACGTTTACTATTAAGCACTTGCATTGCCAATTAAGGTTTGAGTGCTAACTGTGTGTATGTGAGTGTGTGTTCGTGTGCTGCTTTTTTTCTGTGAAGTGAGTGCGAGTGGCCGCGCAAAAAAGTTTTAAATATTACAAAATTGTTGTAATTTTTTAATATAACACATACATTGCTGCGGAACACGCGCGTATTTTGTTTTTAAATATTTTTATTTTTTTTTGAAATCGCATATCGGTTGGCAGCAAAAAAAAAAACGAATTGTATTTTTTTGGGGGGAAACTCGGTTGCGCTCAATTTCACAGCAAACAACTTTCGTCCTGTTCGGACGCAACAACAACAGCAGCAGCAGCAGCAGGGTCATCAAAGGCCCTCACACTTAATTAAATGGAAGGCCTTTCGCATTCATGTGGCATTTTTTTTTTTTCGTTATAAATTTTAAGCAATCAACTTAAAACATGCTGAACAACCACCTACGTGTAGGTGGTGAAGTGCGCTGGGTATGCGAAGCGTTGCAAAATACCTGTGCCGCATATGCATGCACAAATCCGCATACATACATACATAGGTGTACACATAGACACACGTAGGCTTCGTAGCTTTTGCCGTTAAAAAGTCACCATTGTAAACAATTTTTGCTCTTATCCCATATTTACTCCCTCTTACCATATTTACCCCCTCTTACCATATCGACCAATTCAATTTTTGTTGTGTCCACCAAATCAGACCAGTAGCCATGATCCAACCATTGTCGTATCAATTCGAGCGGCGGCTGTGAACCGTATGTGTCCTTCGACGGCATGGCAACATCGTCGCAAAATATTAAACACTGCAAAAACACGTTAACGTGTTGCATCAAAATAATTAATATAAAGCGAAGCCATGTAAAATGAATAATTTTTTGCAATAAAGCTATTTGCACAATTTTACCCTTCTGCCTAGGGGCGGTCCGTATACGCCTTTTCGTCGCCGATCCAGCTTTGACATAATGGTTTCCTGTACCTGGAGGACAAAAAAAAAACAAAATAAAAAGAACGCGTCATTGATTTTAATGCAAAATGTAACCAAAATAAATAAATAAAAAATGTATAAATATGTGCTTGTACATACATATATGCATGTATGTATATTAGGGTTGTTCTTAAATGTAGGAAGCAAAATTTTTCATCAGATTTCCTAAGCCTCAACCACAACGTCGATGCTACTAAATATAGTCGAAGATATCACATATAAATTTTGGCCCCGATTGGAGTCGGTTAAGGCGTGGCACACAGGGGTCCAAATTTAGATTACCCTATGAAGACGCTTTAACCGACTCCAAAGGGGACCAAAGCATATTTTAGCATTGCAACGAATTTTCAACATAAGCGAAATGAAATCTTGTTTACAAGTTTCGGCATTTTGTACGTACAGTAAAATAGCTAAAATCGGACGGTTTTTATATTGTCCCAAATCACATTCTAAAGCAGGTAATTTTGTGTTTAAATCGATATAAAAGGCGAGGAAGTTATTTTTTCATTGAAAAGTTTAATCTTTTAACTCCCACTAAAGAGGTGTCTTGAGCCTATTTTTGAAAAAAGAAAGAACTAGATGCTAAAAGAAAAATATTGAAATGTTTATGCAGAATCATGGTTGAAAGGAATTCTGGCATCTGAGTATTGTTGTTGTTGTAGCGACACTCAAAAACCTCTGACTAAATCGACTAGTCTATCAATCGTACCAGAGCGAGGTAGGTGGTAACTAAGTGAATTTGTGTGGGCAGGTGGGAGATCCTTCAGCCAAATGCAATATCCAGCCGACTGCAGTGGCAGAGTTAACTACTATGAGGGTCTCGCGCGTCAGCGGAAGCTTTTTGACTGCTCTCGGTGGGGTGCGATTGGGCTCCAATTGCGAAATTCATAGCGCAAGAGTGTCTGAATTGTAATAGAGTCTCTGTGAATGTCACTTATGGCTTGTTGATACGCCGTCGGATCCAGTCAAAGGGCTACGTAAGTCTGGATACCGTTCGTATGTTCGTGGAGGTGCCTACTGATGTCCCCGTGGAACGAGGCTCGGAGCTTCTTGCGATAGCAGCGTAACACAAACTGTTTGCTGAGCATTAAATTATGTTTTCTAACTGGCAGCATTCGAACCTCGCTCTGCAGGTTGTGTTCAAACGACGTCAGAAGGCAAATCCGGAGTGCGACAGAATCGGCGAAGATGCGATAGCCGTTTACGTTTGCATATAGGTCGCCGGTTCGATTGTTGGACGCCAATATCGATCAATCGTTAGCGTAGAAGATCTTCCGCTGGTAGACGAAGCTTCGAGAATCAGATGTTAAACAGTAGCCGGGGTAAGACAACATCCCGTGTGACCCTTTGTTCTTTCAGTATTTTTCGCTTGAAGGTTCGAACTCGAAAAAATACTGAGGTACCACTCAGGTAATTTGCCGTCCACCGTTTTAGACCTCCACCAGCTTGCAATAGCAAATAGTTTCAAATGCCTATGAAGGGCCCAGCGCCACCAGGACAGTTCTTTCGCAGGGGCGGATATGGTTAAGGCCGCGAGTTCCCTGGGTGTATATGACCTTAGGTGCTCTGGTGGTGCTGTGCGCCACACCTACCACGGACCCAGCAAGCCCTCGAATGTATGCACAACTGAGGAAAGGAGAGTTATTGGGCAATAAGCCTCCCAGTTGTTGAATAATTCCACCGACTTAAGTAGTGAGACCACTTACCCTGAATTTATAGAGCAGAAATATAAAGGTGATCATAGATAGGAGAGCTATTTTTGTCCCAACGGATCCGAATTTTCAAACATCAGCACTAGCGTGGGCCAAAAGTCCGCTTTTTTTTAGAATTTTGACTAGTAATAGCAAAAATATGGTCCATTATGCTCTAATCATAATCTGTGTCAAAAGATGACAATTTTGGTTAATATCTTAGCCTCGCCCAAGTCCATCAAAGTTCAAGTGCTAAACATTTTTTTCTTAGCTAAACAAAAACCTACTTTAAAAAATTGAACATTTAAATCACATTTTTTTCATGAAATTAAGATTCATTTACATACTATTTCGTAAATTGATTTGTTATTTTTTTTTGAGCATTGGATTAAATAGCTCTAATTAAAATATATGAGAATGCAAGAATTTCTAGTTTATTTTTTTAGTATTCAAATTAATTTGCGAAAATATGATTTCCAAAAGCAACTTGAAACAATTTGTTTCAAATAAGGAAACGCTGCTCCTTCATCGTCTTCTTTTATTTTAAAAATTTACTTACGCAGAAAACCGCAACAGTAATTTTTATTTTTTCGTTCAAATCGGAGATTTCATAAAAGAAACTTTAATTTGTCCTAAGAAAGAATTTAAAAAACTATAATTTACAGTTAATACATACTATGAAACTGGCAAGTTTGGGAACAGGATAGTTTTAACAGAAAACAAAACAGTTTTAAGAGAAAGACGTAAATAACTCTCGTTTCATTGCATTTCGGCAATTTTTTTTCGGCAAATAATTTCTAATATATTATTAACAATTAACAGCAATTAGTCCAAAACGCGATCTTAAAACGATTGAGAAAATAATAATATTTTCAAAATTGTTTTTAACTTTTATAAAAAAAAAAATTAAATGGGAAGACAACATCATCATTCTTAACTGGTTAAAAAATGAGCAAAATCGGTATGACCAATCACGAGACAACAAAAAAAATCCAAGAATTTTGAAAAAAGTTCAGAAAGTAATTCGAATTTCGAAAAAACTTGAAGTTTGCATATTTTTTTATCGTTGTGAAAGAAAAAAATTAATTCCACAAAAACTCGACCTTCGAAAAATTGTGGTCTCTGTGCAAAATTTTATTCAAACTATTACGAACATGAGCTGGAATCAAGTTCCAGGTGCGAATAGCATTGACAAAAAAGAGTCTTGCATAAATATGCTAGGTAATAATAGTTGGGTATAGTCATTTCCGTTAGGCGCACAAATTTCGGCAAAGAAAATTTTTAAAACATCGAATTTATGCCAAAAATACGACTGCTGCGTTCAGTGTGGTCAGTTTTTGTGCTAATCGCGGAGTGTTAATTAGATAATTTTTTGATTTCTATTGCTTAGATTTCAAGCTAAAGATATTAGACTTGTTTGGATGAATTTAAGCATTTCACATCACTCAGCTATAACAATCACCAGACTCACATTGGTGATAATGGCGCACAAATCATCCTTTTTCTATACAAAATTCGTTTTTGCATAATTTAACTAAATTTAATTGTATCTGCCAAATTTTTGTGCGATTTTTTATTTACGATTAGCATCCCACTCTACACTAAAACTAATTTAAGAAACGTATTAAAAGTTTAGCCAAAAAACGTTCCACGCGTATAATGGCTTTTTGTCCGACTTAATTCCTAATATTGACAGACAAAAGCCGATAAAAATAGGTCGCTGATAGATTAACGAATGTCAGCTAAGAAAATTATTATGTATTAAACATTTGTATGCGAATTAGAATTTAAATAAAAACTTTATAATAATGCAAATTGGGCACTTTTTGATTTAAACGCAAAAAAAAAAGCGAACGCAACCGATTTGCATAAACGTCGCGCAGAATTAAGAACAATAAAACAAACCGGCTTGAATTAACTAGCAAGCGAACCAAACAAAGTACCTACCTGCAGCGCTTTGGCGAGTGAATGTAAAAATGTAAATGTCATATTGTGATAAATTAAAAAACAAAAAAAAAAAAATGAAAAAAACAAAAACATAAAAAAACCTTCCGAGAGCTTAGATAAAAATGAATGGTGCGCCATTTTTAGTGGTGGGCAAGTTGATTAGCCAGCAGCAGAGTGGCAAGCAGTGTGGAACAATGGCAGAGCAGTTATGTAGTTGAATGAACCTCATTTCGAATTTGGCCAACAGCAAAGAGCATGTTGGTGCAAAAGTTATGCTTGCTAGCTGGTCGTTAAGTTGTTGGCGGTTATGAAGAAGATATCGTTGCGGTTACTGTTTGGCAAACTCAATTTGGAGATGGCAACCGCGCACAGTCACTTTTGACCAGGTGGGCGGTGAGGTTGGCTGCAAACTGTTGCACATAACCACATGCAGAAATATGTATCTCAGTACATGGATATGAACATGTGTATGTAAATACTGTAGTAGTACGTACTTCATCCACCTACGCATTGCCGCCTGCCCCTAGTGGCATTGCTTACCTCATTTGCTCATATGAAAACTACCTATGTATGTGCATATGCGTGTATGTATAGGGTCGTGCCAAGTAGTGTCGTGCTGCTGCCAATTTTGGCATTTGAATGGATCTCAGCAGTTGCAGTGGCAAACGAGCTACCAAAATGGCTGTAATAACTGAACAATTTCTAAGCAACTTCAGCTACTAGTAACACTCGTTGTACAAACTTGTACCCATACATCACTACACTTCAGCGCCGCTCACTCACATTGGCCATTTGTATAAACGTTAGTATGTATGTACATATGAAGATTAGGGCGGAGCGGACAAAAATTGTTGCGTTTCGAACTTCTAATAGCGGGGGATCGTTTTTTTGCCACCCTATTTTGATTAAAATTTTGAGATTTTTGTAAATTCTTATCAAATAACGTAATCTATCAAAATCCTTTTTAGAAAATTTGTAAGTAAGCAGTTTTGTAGGCTATTAAATTTAGTATAGTAAAAAAAA